TCCGTCCATCCATCCATCCATCCATCCATCCATCCATCCATCCATCCATCCATCAATCCTTCTAGCCAAAAGTTTTCATATTGATTATTTATTATTGACTTAATCCTGTCTTTAGGCAAAACCTATGGCCTTGTCCCAATAGTATCAGAAGATTATGGCCCACCTGGGAACACAGGGTATTTCGCAATGGCAGTTGCAAAGAAACAAACAAACATCACGATAAACACTCTAAAAGGACGAAAGACTTGTCACACTGGATACCGCAGGTCAGCTGGTTGGAACATTCCTATTGGTTATCTACTGCAAGGCAAAATGAAGCGTGTTGGTTGTGGTAACACCGTTGATGCTCAGTCAGCAGCGGCATTTTTCTCTCAAAGCTGTGTGCCAGGTATGTTGTTACTACTCTTCCCAGAACTTCGAGGCAGTTGTGTTTTTATTACGCCTTCGTAGCATCTGTTGCGTTAACCGGAAGTGCATTTCAAATCGACCACGTGATGCCAATGTAGTGCCACGTGGACACGTCTTTAAGGCACGTGACTGAAGTGCAGTCAACTCCCTACGCACGGAATAGAAACAACGGGCAACTCTAATTACACACAACACCGTATCCGGGAGTCAAACCATGGTGACATTGGTGAGAGCCGTCAGCGCATTAGTGAGACACAACATCCGTGCTTAACTTATTAGGAGCAAAAAAAAAAAAAAAAAAAAAAAAAAAAAAAAAAAAAAGAAAAGAAAACAAAAGAAAAAAGAAAATAGGCGCAAACAAGGGGAAACAAACACCGATGCAATACAAAATGAAAGTTGTCTTTTTCTTGGCTTGTGCTTACGCTTAAGACGAGCGCCATTTAATTTTCATGCAAGCAAACTCATTTCAATTCCGATGGCTTTCGTTAGTGAAAACCAGGTGAACGTCTTATAAGTTTCGTTATTTTTGATATTCTTGTTTGAACGTACACCTCTATCGTAGGAGTTCCAAAAGATAAAGGACTAGAAAACCTCTGCCAGCTTTGTCCACCCGAAAGCCAATGTGCAGCAAGTTCTAAGAATAGATACAATGGCCATCCGGGAGCTTTTAAATGTATGGCGGAAGGAAAAGGCGAGGTTGCTTTTCTCAAGCTACCAACTTCACTGGATGTTTTGCGCTCTGAAGGCGCCAAATATGGCAACATGTCTGAATACAAGTACTTATGCTTGAATGGAAAAACCAAAGGTATTTTTAAAAGACCTCCCTTGTTCGTCGTTGCGTAATATTTTCCCATTTTTAATATAGACCACGTGTCATTCCCTAGAGTATCATTTCTTTGTTTAACGGTTGCATGAGAAGACATATGAATATGGATACAACTCAATGAAAGAATGTTGTTCTCAAGAGAATGAAACGTGGTCTGAAATGGGTAAACATTACGCAACAACAAATAAGGTCGATTCATGGTCCTGAGTTACTGTTGCTGTATTATCTGTTGCTACTATGAGCTAGAATATCCCAGAACATATAGAGAGAAATTATAGAGAATCGAAACRAGTGGAGAAAAAGCCCGAGATTACCAGTTAACTGTTCCTGGGAGGTATTTCGAATTAGGAAAATCACTCGATTTTTCTGAATATGAGAAAAAAAAAGGAATTACTCATTCTATGGAAAAATATTGCCACAATGATAATAATATGCATAAAAAAGAAATCTGAATACGATGGGGTTGGAGCCCTTTCACAAAAAATTGGGGAAAAAACGACTCCACTTTGCCATACCCCCTAGACATCCGCAGAGCTGAGGCGTCGTATGGACTTCGGACCTGACGGCGATTAAATCCTTCTGCCCTTGGGTGTACGAATTACGCAAGAAAATGTTCTAGCCGAAGCATCAGGGGAGAGACCAGCCGGCCCCCAGACCATATCGGCTAATCCCTTGCATCTCTGCCACGCACGGAATCGGTTGAAAACATTATGTTAAAAAGTCTAGTCTATTCGTTGCATTGTTTTCACGGCTATTGTTATGCTGATTCACCTGGAACCGTGGTCCAGTGGAAAAAAGTTGGGCTAACATATCATGACACTGAGTCAAGTCCGGTTGAGCGAAGTTAGTAACTGGATGGGTGACCTGAAACTTATGCCTACTAAAAAAAATTCAAAAACATTCCCCAAAACTTTTTTTCGTTGCTTATTTGTTCTCTTTTTTCCTCTTAGTTCTTTCCCCAGATGCCTACAAGAAATGCCATCTATTTTTTAGCCCAGCCCATGCTGTCGTCACAAGGTCAGGCAACAATCAAGACTACATCAAAATCTTGCTGAGAGCATCCAAATACTGTCAAAAAAACACAACAGCGTCTAACTGTTCTGGTTTCTACATATTTGAATCGGTAAGGTACGTCCCGGGCGAAAAACACCTTCTCTTCAAGGACTCAACTAAGCAGTTGGTTGACGTGAAGGGCAAGAATACGTACAAGAAGTTATTGGGTGAAGATTACATCAAGATATTAGAGGCGTTTACTGTTGACACTACATGTAGTGGTGTAAATCCAACCCTCTTTACCTCACTGTCTGGCTTGCTCATGACCATCGTAGCTTTGTTAGGACTAGTCCTTTAAAGTACCCATCATCCTTGACTCAATAGTTTCAAGGTGCTGACACACGGTGCAACATTGCATGCAACATTGCACAAAACCGGACTGTTGCAGCGTGTGGCTACGTACCCCAAACTTGTTGCACGCAACGTTGCATGCAACAAATCCGAAGTTGAATCGCGCTTCTCTTGCAACATTGCGCGCAACAAATTTCACCATGTGAATGGCTGCAACATTGCCTGCAACATTTTGAGATTYCCAGCCTATCAGCTTGCACCAAATTTATAACTGCTGTCCATATATGTTAACATATCAGGCTGACACAAGCGATGTTGCGTGATTTTGTCGCAACGTGTGTCAAATTTGTTACTTGCAATGTTGCACCGTGTGTCAGCACCTTCAGTATTGATTCTACATGAAGTGAATAGTTGAATGGTAATTTTTTTTGTACGACTTGAGTGATGCGTCTTGGAGATGATTCAAGGTTTTTAATTCCAAGATGCTAATGACTGTGTTGTCTTTAGAGGCATTTGAGGTTTTTAGAATTAGAGTTTAGAATTAGAATTTAGATTCAAAAATCCAAATTTCAYTGATAAGAAGTGCGATTTTCTTTTCGTATTTTCTGTTAGTTTTGCATTGAAAATTTGATTTTAGAAGTTTCCGCAACACCTTTGTCATTGCCAAGCAGTTTATCGCCATGACTGCATTTTTTTTTTTTTTTTTTTTTTTTTTTTTTTTTCTTTTTTTTTTTTTTTTTTTTTTGTTCCCAGCGGACTTACTAGCACGGGATATTGTGAAAAAGCTATGTATAGACCTTATTTGTGGCGTGACAATGTTTTCCCAATTCAGCGTGACGAACCTCCAGGGGATTCATTTTCTTTTGTTTTTACTCACCGAAAAATTCACGACTATCCCAAAGGATACGAAAGGAATAAGCCTTTTCATAGTTTAAGAAGCGATTCCATGCACTGCGCATGCGATTTTATCCCGAATTTCTCACCTTCTTTTGTTTAATTAAGAACAAAAGAAGGTTTAGACAAAAGAAGGTGAGAAATTCGGGATAAAATCGCATGCGCAGTGGAATCGATTCTTAAACTATGAAAAGGCTTTTAACGATTATATCCCGACGAGTTTCAAAACAATAGCTCTTCATTCCCCCAGAGGTTTGTCACGCTGAATTGGGAAAATAAGCTCGCACGCCTCAGTCACTCTTCTTGCTCCTACACTAAAACAACTGAGCAACCTGAAAGCCTTTTCATCAGTCTAGCTGAATTCTAAGCTGTATGAGTCATTCTTGATCTTGATACAAAGCTACAAGGTAAGTCAGAGCTTTGAAAAAAACTTTTTACGACTCGTTTACTGTGATTTGAGTGGTGCCGCAAATGTCTTTATTCATGTTTTATTTGTGCATCGAAATATGTTCTTTAATTCGGCCAATATTAATTGTTTGACATGGAATGATGTATCAGTAACCATCTTTAACCTAGTTGTGTCTTAAGTTCTGCATGCTTTATAACTTGAACTCGGAAATATGCGTAGTTTTAGTGGTAAGACTTTGTGTTTAATATTTTTTGGAGTGCATGTTATGTTACGTAATTGCCGCCATATTAGTTGACAATAACATATAATTTCTCATTAGCTTCTTTTGTTAGATCAAAAAACATGGCCAGTGTGTTTCATTGGTATTTTAAACTATGAAATTACAAAGTAATTAAGTAATGATACCCATGTATTAATTGACAAAAAATATACTTAATAATAAATTAATAGGGAAAATAAATGAATTAATAGTAAATTCATTTGGTAACGCTAGGATAAGCAGTGTATAGGAAACGTGAAATAAGGAAAGAAAGAAGAAAGGAAGAAAGGAAGAAAGGAAGAAAGGAAGAAAGGAAGAAAGAAAGGAAGGAAGGAAGGAAGGAAGGAAGAAACGAACGAACGAA